TTTTCCAGTTTAACACAACACATTTTAACACCTAGTCATTTCACTATTAAAATTAATGCTGTATGAATTCCTTATCTTAACTCTTATCACACCAAAGTGAATCCTGCAATTAACGCACTCACCATAATGAAAAACTTGGTTTATCTTAGTTATACATGCTAAAAGGAGGCTTCCTAAATTACTTAAAACTCTTATCAACAAGTTTGTAATTTATTTTCAATTAGAATTTTCGCTAAACCATTATGATCACTAAAAAAAGCTGATTACTGTTTGAAATTGTTTTTATAATGTAGCGATGTTAAATTGCTAAGGCAACAAAAAGTAGGGAGTGCAATTGTAGGCTGTTACGTTGTTTAGACTTAAAAAGGGGGAACCCTCTCACCACCTGTTGATTGTTTCAGTTGAAGACTGTTCAAGGCATTTATTACTTCGTAAAAAGTGCTGGAAAGCAAATACGATGACTCGCACTGGAAACTTTAGTATTTGGCTCAGATTTTGGAGTTTGGTCTTATAATTGATGACATTGAAGCAAGTTTGAGGCCTTAGTATACAAGCCTGCAACCTTCTGAAATTGATATTTTATCGGTTTTTATATTTGATATTTTACCACGCTCAAAAACTCCAAGTCTTTTTATACATTTTTGTAGTAGTATTTCTTCTGCGATATGCTAAAAACCTTTTTCACTATGTTATGTTCCTGATAGAACGTTGCTTTTTTACTGGTACTTTCTTGTCCAATTTTTATATTTTTTATTTTGGCTACAAATATCACAACTATTTTTTTTCATCGTATCATTCCGCATTTGCGGGGTTGTCCAGGAAAGCTAGATTTCTCAACACTTCTATTTTTTAATAGCACCGGAGTTGAATTTCAGGCCTAAAAGAACGAGGCAATCATCTGAGAAGGTTTCATAGTCGAGAAGAGATATATTCTTATCAAGTAAATGATGCAATACTCTTCAACATCGGAAACTTTTGTGGACTTTTATTGAAAAACATTTCAAATCCACTTGCAATTACTCTGTTCCTAGTAATTGCGAGTTGGCAGAGATTATTTTTTTTTGGTATAGCAAAAAAAAAAGAGATTATTTTTTTGCTGTAAAGGACTCTCTGACTTAATATCAACTTGTTTTACTCAGCGCATTTTGTCAAGTATTGGATAATACAAAACAATTAAATTAAGACGATTGCCAACAATATCAATCGATGTCCAAAGACTCGGAATTTCTGATGCTAGATAAAGAATTTAAGTTACATTCCTTCTTAGCCAGATCATAGTGCTACTTTCTCTGATTTCTCAACTATTCGCTAAAATAACTTGATAGACTTTTATTTTACACAAAAGTACCTAGCCAAAACTTGTTTTAGCGTAAAAATTATACGGACACTTGAGTCTACTTAATAACTTTCATAGATCTTTCCGTTTTTTTAAAGTAACGAACAAAGGTAAGCAACAAAAACAAAAGATTAATCAAAATTGCGTAGAAAACGCTTTTAAAAAAGTTAATTACATTAGTAGTACTATTTTGAAGAAACTCTGCATCCTCGTACAGTTCCTTAATTGGATACTAAATGCCTTTTTATCCAAATAAAAATACAGAGCTAACCTTTTTCTAAACAAAGCTTATCCTCTCATTCTGTTTTTTGATATTAATGAGTTGTATTCGCGGACAGATAAAATCCTCAAAAATACTGAGTAATAAAACCATGAAATTCTTTTACAGTTAGATGTTCAATTCAGATATTCTTTGCGCACAACAAACAAAGATAAATTGCTTCAGGGTGAACAAAAAGTCACACAATGAGCTTTTCGAGTCTTTTATAGTCCCACGAGAAAATTCTAGATCCGCTCCTTCAAAGACACCATTTTTGGCGTTTTTTTTTGAAAAGTTAGCCTGCTGCGCATAAACGTTTTGCAAAATGCGTCTTTCAGGATTATAGGAGAGCTCAGAAAACAATAATTTAGTCGACTTAAAAATCAAAAACACTTGAAAACCCTCTCGTTTGCAAAAAGCCTAGATCGCTATATATACTACTAACCTATGAACGTGAAGTTGAAGACACAAACTGGGCACAATTTTGTACTTCCCTTGAAGTGTATATTCTCAAATTCCTCTCCTTTATCGAACAGATGTGCCGCATACCTTGAAAATCCTCCAAATGACAACGGTAAACTTGTATCTGTTTCATTGGATATTTTCCTATAATTGGATAGATTTAACTTTGAAGTACCCATATGAAATTAAGACTTATGGTAGGGTTTAGTGTGTTTCGTACCCCAAAAATTAAGTTTCTAAATAATTATTTAGATACTTTAGACATTATTGATTGTTTGATTTAAAGTTCGGCCTCAAAGAAATCGGGTGGATAAGGTATCTCTTATGCATTAAAAACTATAACTTGAAATTTTGAATCTGTTGGCTTCATTAGATTTCCCGGGAAGCTCAAAGTTAAAACAATAGTTCCTTGCAGTAGCCATAAATTTCTCCGAATCTAACTTCTGCGATCGTATTTTTCCCATGTACCCCGAAATGAACCTCACTATTGGGTCCCTCACAAACACGAAACTAGTGTAGCCTCTCAATTTTTCAACAGCTTGACCGATCGACAAATTTTTCAACAGTTTCACTGCAGGGTCATGACTAGGGTGAGCATGGTGCCTTTCGGATAAATTAGATTCATTATGGTTCAAAGTCCACATAAGACGTCCTCTTTCAGATGTTCCTGTTTTCGCTACCCGACATTCGATGTATTTAAAATCATCATTATAGTTCAAGTTTTCTCTTTTGAGAATATTTGCCAAATGCTGTTTTTGTTCGCTTTCCAGACGGCGTGTTTTTGGTTCACGTTTATAATAAGGGTCTTGTTGTGAACAAAATCGGTGCAGAATTTCCAGCCGATCATTTGATATTGAAGCCATGTCGTGAAACTCGTTTTCTTGGTTCACTACGCTGGACGAATAAACTCGATCGACCGAGTTTGTTAAATTCTGTAAATATACGAGTTACAAAATTAATTCGCTGTGTCAAATTTGATTTGCTTTGAACATAATACAAAAAAAAAACTAAAATCTGTTGAATATCAAAAAATGCTACCGCAAAGAATCTGAGAAAACTAAATCTCTCTTTATTCGGCTTTTGAGTCAAAAAGCTTTGAAGAAACTCAAAAAAAAAATTTTTCATGTTTGTTTTCACGGAGTTTCAGCGGGAAATATTCATTAGTAAAATGATTTTTTTTTCTCATAATCAAGCTAATAAATCTATATCGTGTATAGGGCTCTTCAATCCATTAGTTTGGAAAACACTTAATAATTAATTCACTCGGTACAAAAAAAACTTACTTGATTTGGATCTTTTTGAAAACTTGTTGATAAATGTTCAGCTGTAAAAGTGAAATTGTCAGACTTTAAAAGAGCATTACAGATCATAAATATGAAGAAACAGTGAAGATGAAGCACGAAGATATAACAGCAGTGTAAAATTTTTTGTTTTCTCGACACTGAACATATTTTTCTTTCTGTCCGATTCATTATAGTTGCAGTTACAGTTAATTATAAAAAAAAACACTTTTAGATTGTAAACAAAACAAACCATGAGGCTCAAATTAATAAAGTAAAGAACACGAAAATTACTTTTTATTATTTACTCAACGCATCTGTGCGAGTAAACAAACAATCTTCATAAGCTTTCAGGGGCTGTCACTTTTTGAATTCAACGCAGGACTCAAATTTTCTTTTCACATTGGTCCTTTTGTTCAGCACCTACTCTGTATTCAATCCTGATTTTTTAAGAATGATCGCTCGTTTAGAAATGTGGCTCCTCAAGTTCGTTAGTGACTCTCATTTAAGCACCTTGTATAAACAAGTGACACCATCAAACTTTTTGAAATATTCTTTGGATAATTGAACTGAAAATAACGAATTCCAAAAACTCCAAAACCTTTCAGTTTTTTGAGCCTAAGAGCTTGGATGTCAATCAAAGTAAATTGGACTATAATACGAAGCGCGTTATCTTTTGCTATCTGAAAACATTTCTCAAGGTCTGCGTGCGTTTATACCAGTTTTAAAAACTAATTTCAATGGCGAGATCAAATGTACTTGTAATTTGAACCAGAATATTTTCTTAAAAAGACTTAATTTTTTTTTTACAAATTTTCGTAAAAAAACTTTTTTGTACTACTTTTCTTTCGATTTATGGAACTTTTTTTCTGAAAAAACCTGATACTCTGTCGGTCAATCATTTGTCTGCTCATTTTTAAGAGCTTGTTTTCAGAGACTTGAGAAATATTTACTAAAATTGAAATTTGTAAGTAAACCAACGCTAGTTTTGTATAGTTTCTTTATAATTTTATTCTTATTGAACGATTAAAATTTTGGCCTTAATTATATCGGTTTTTTTACTTATACTCGATTTACAAAAAAAACAAAAAAAATGATTTTTTCATGCGTTTTGGGAGGAACGGAGCGTGAAAAATTTTTTTATTTCAAAATGATATTTTAAAAGTTTTTACATGATTTTGTTTTGACTGAACGAGCGTTAAAAATCAAATTAAGACGGTCGGAAAACAATTTTTAGTGCTTTTTTAACGCTGGTTATTGTGTTTCGTGGTATTTTTTCTTCGAATTGATCATCATTCAGGACAAGCGATGGTAGATGAAAAAAATTCAATAAAATGTCGAAATAATTTTTTTTCGACCTGAATTTAAAAAAAATCGATTTCCCTCCTTTTGTTTGTATCCGCTCACTTGAAATGTTATGTTTGTTTTTTAAACGGTTTAAGGAGTTAAGTTGATCAATCTATTTCATTTCGTCGTCTGGCGTTTTTATTTTAGTGGCGCCAAAAAATCCTTGTTCTGTATCTCAAACCTTCCGTCTAAAATTCGTCGAATCCGTCAGGGATTCGACCCCTTTTTCCCTAAAGGGAACCCCCTGGCTACCTAAAGAGGAGTTACCGAGGTGCGATATGTACGTGGAAATCAAAAATAAATTTTCAAAACAAGGCTGACTTAATTATCAATTCAACGCTACAAAACATACACGTGCTTCCAAAAATATTGTAATGAATTTCTGTAAAACGCAGACAAGTCAACTTTTGGCAGTTCATTTAGTTTAAATAAATCAAGTTCCAAAAAGTATCTTTTCAACTATTGCACTCTTAGAATAATATGTACTCCAGAATCAGTATCGACAACGCCACTCATTTCATTCACGCCCAGAGCAAACGAAGCTTCCTCGAATGGCTTCTGCATCATGCCACGCCCGAACATTCCTAAATCTCCGCCTCGTTTTGCTGATGAGCAGTCGCTGTTTTTGGCAGCCAGTTCACTAAATGCTTTCACTAGATCGTTTCCACTTAGAGCTGAAACAAACTGTTAGATTTAAAGTAAGATTTGGTAACTAGTCTCAATACAGGTAGCTCAAAAATATATTATCAATATATTATCTATTTAAGGGGAAAAAGAAAAATATTTTCATTCATAATAGTTCAACATAGTATTTGTAATCACTAAAGCATCGGTACGTTAGATTGTCATTAGAGCTACTGGCCTATTTGAAGAAATCTCAAAACCACTCCCTTTACACTCAAAATTAACTTCCTTTCATTTATGTTAAATGTAGTGACGGACGCAACTCAGGAGTGTCGTCGATTTAGATCAACTGAAAACCCCTACTGTGGCCTCAAAATACAATTTATCCATCAATAAAATGTACTAGCTTAGTTCACGATAATCTGGCTCTCGATATTATTGTTCCGACTTTTTCAAATAATAGGTTGTTTTTAACACCTCTTTTCCATCTTATCTTGTACGGGGTCAAGAGTGATTTTCAGCCCAAGTTTGCCAAATCGTGACACTCAACTCAAACTTAATGACACACAACTCAATCATACTGCAACTTTTGTGCTTTATAGTAACTCAGTAATAATTAATCTCATTCTTTTTCTAACCCAAATAAATTGCCCTGTTCTTTTGATTTTTTTTGATCAAGAAAGTTGCGGATTTTTTGTTTTCTATACTTAAAACATTATGGTCGGAGCAATCTGCACTACTTGTTCAGCAACCTGCTATCCTTATTTCACTTGAAATTTGCTGAAACGAGGAATTTTTATAGCTTTAAGATTACAGTTTTTGCATGGATATCTGACTATTTGTTTTTGCAGCTGCCAAAACTCCTAGATATCAAATTCAATCTAACAAAACGTGATCAAAGAAAACATTTTCCCATTTGTGGTCTCCCCCTCATTTCTGATATATATTCAAACTTGCAGCGACCAGATGTACAGGGTGTGTCCTTAAAATTAATAGCAACCAATTTAACATCGTACATTTGACTACCTAGTCATTTCACTATCAAACAATTTGAATCTCCAAAAATTCTTAACGCACGTATCACATTGAAAAATCTGGTTTATCCCAGTTATACTTGCTAAAATGAGGCTTCCTGAATTACTTAAGACGCTTATCGACAAGTTCAAAATATACTTTCAATTAGATGTTTCACTAAACCAATATGATTACTAAAAAAAATGGTTTATCTGAGTTATAATTGCTAAAATAAGCCTTCTTAAATAACTTAAGACTCTTGTAGACATGTTCAAAATATACTTTCAATTAGATGTTTCACTAAACCAAAATGATTACTAAAAAACTTTCTTGTGCTAATTTACAACAATTTGACATATTTCGGAATAACACAAAACTCTGGCAATCCTTTTATACTGTTCTCAAGTCATAAAAAACGCAAAAAAGACATTTCAGCGCGAAAATCAGTTGCTCGAAATGTCATCAAGAATTTAAGAGATCAGCGAGAAACAAAACTTCCATCGACTGTTGCAGTTGTCAGTGCGTTTTTTTTTCAAACAAATGACAGGGTCACTCAGTTTTTCCTCCCAACTAAAGACAAACTGATTCGAACAGCTGCATTATGTCTCTCTACGAAGACAAAACTGATCGTTACTTTTTCAGATCACTATCTAGTTTGTTTTAAACCAGTGTAAATGTTGTTTTATTTTTGTATTTGTATTTTTAGAAAGCTTAATCCTACTTAAATTTGTCCGCTTTTTTGAATAGATGTTTCCTTGCAGACTCCCGAATAACTTACAAAACGCAATAACTTGTCTCATGGACTAGCAATTTAATCCCCAGACATTCGCCACCTTTATTCGGAATGCTAGGTTGGGACTAGGGGCTGGCAAACCCTTGAGCTTTGCGTTTATGTGCCAACAATTCAAAACAATTTAAAAAGAGCGATCGGACTATAGGTTTAAACTCGACAATGATTCTAATATTGAACATTTTTTTAACCTTTAGGCAATAGTAGAACCTTCTTCGAATTTCTGTACAGGCTGAAAATGATGCCATTTTTAGTCAAAGAACGTTTAATTAATAGAGGGCCTTTGAAGTTCATTAGACAAACTTACTTATAATTAATCAAAGGTATAAAAAATTCTAAGCAAAATTTACCGCGGAAAAGAAAACGATCCGGAATTGAAACTATTACATGTACAGACGGAAATGTAAAAAAACTCGAAAGAATTTTTTCCAACAAAACTCGGATAGCTGGACTTTTATTGAAACTGATAATTGCACCTCTCTGATTTTTTTGAGCTCCCAAGACATTAGAGAAAAGTCAAAAAAGAGTTTATAAGTCAAAAAAGAAAATATTTATTTAAACCAGTGTAAATGTTGTTTTGTTTTATTTTTGTATTTTTAAAATATTTAATCCTTCTTAAATTTGTCCGCTTTTTTGAATAAATGTTTCCTTCCAGACTCCCGAATAACTTACCAAACGCAATAACTTGTCTCATGGACTAGCAATTTAATCCCCAGACACTCGCCACCTTTATTCGGAATGCTAGGTTGGGACTAGGGGCTGGCAAACCCTTGAGCTTTGCGTTTATGTGCCAACAATTCAAAACAATCCAAAAAGAGCGATCGGACTATAGGTTTAAACTCGACAATGATTCTAATATTGAAATTTTTTTTAACCTTTAGGCAATAGTAGAACCTTCTTCGAATTTCTGTACAGGCTGAAAATCATGCCATTTTTAGTCAAAGAACGTTTAATTAATAGAGGGCCTTTGAAGTTCATTAGACAAACTTACTTATAATTAATCAAAGGTATAAAAAATTCTAAGCAAAATTTACCGCGGAAAAGAAAACGATCCGGAATTGAAACTATTACATGCACAGACGGAAATGTAAAAAAACTCGAAAGAATTTTTTCAAACAAAACTCGGATAGCTGGACTTTTATTGAAACTGATAATTGCACCTCTCTGATTTTTTTGAGCTCCAAAGACATTAGAGAAAAGTCAAAAAAGAAAGTTTATTTTTAAAAAATTTATCCACCCCGGGTTTAAAATTACGAAAAAACATTTGATATATAAATCAATTAACTTCGAAAAATTTCAAAGATAACTGTATCGCGCATAAGAACATGTATTTTTCAGCTACTAAAAAATGAAGAAACAGCCTGCGAAAGAACAGCCTGAGAAACATAATGCTTATCAAAATAATTAATAGTGGTCACCTACCATCCAGTCTCTATTATTCGTAATTCTACTCTTCAAATTGAGCATAGCTCGACTTCAAATTATAACATTTGCAGACATTTTTCACGCGATCAGAATGCGTGGATCAATTGAGCATGCAAAAGTAATAAGTAGCTTAACGAAAACAGAAACTACTTTGCGACGAAGTTAAATATAAGAGCTCAATTTATCGTCTTCGACGCCGTACTTCGGAGGGTAGTCCTAAATAGTCATCCAAAGAGTTCTGAAAGCAACTAAAAATAGATACTAACCTTTTTGGTCAACTTCAATAGTTGCTTCATTGGTCGAGATAATTATTATGTAACTCCAACTAACAATAAAGAATAACAGAAGGCCGGTAACTGATTTGTTTTCATTTTCACTTGGTTCATTTACTATTTAGGACTTACGTTGTAGTTGCGCATGGAATGCCTTCAGCTGTTCTATTGCCTCCCCTTTAGACCGGGTGATGGTGGGGGTCTTCCAGGAGGAGGGGTTCCTAGAGCCAGTATGCTTCACCAGCAGATGTAAACATTGCACTTGGTCAGTCATTGCCTACTACTCTTAAAATAAATATAGTGATACAACCTGAGATACATAGAACTAGAGTATTCTTTATCACAACACATACGCACACACACTTGAAAGAATTATAAACAACGTTTTACACAAAGTTCAATTGGATCTTACAGATATGTAAAACTTACGTTATTGGTAAGTACGTCAAAAATTACAAACTTTATTAGCTTAAATTTTACAACATCGTGTCCGCATCCGCATCATCTTCATTAATCATAAATGAACTAAAACATACACTAGGTGTAGATTCCTTGAAATTCAGGGTAAAATTCCTAAAATCGAGCTTCTTTGCTATGCAACAATTAGCCTAATTGCAGTCAAAATCTTTCGCGTATTCGGCCCACATCTCTGTTATATCTTTCATCAGAGTCGGATCCTCATCAAATCGTTCCACGAATGATTCAATCAGACCCTTATGTGAAGGTTCATACTCAACTAACTTAACATTTCCACCGTCTTCCATAACCGTATTTGGCATCACGTTTTCCTTTCTCGGCTGTTTCCTGGCTAGAACTATTTCCCTATACGCAATGAACTCATCATTCGGCGTCGTGTAATGTTCGTACATTTTAGTCGCATTGTCAATCTCAGCCATGGCTTTGAAAAGTTGAAGTTTGTTCAGAAACTTTCCGACCGCTTCGCGTCCGATCGTTTCAATTTTGGATCTGTCCATCGTCAGAAGGAGGTCGTCTCCTTTTTCATCGGCATTTTCGATCTTCTTGATCGAGACGAATCCGTGACTTGCCTCTAACATGACTTGCAAGATAGCAAATCGAGCCTAAAATTGAACGAAAGCTCTTTAAAATGACACTATTGATGCATTGAAGCTCATTAACACATTGAAGCTCATTTGGCAAACTCGAACCAGGCAAAAAAATTGGGGAAAAGCGGGGAAAAACGATTTTTTTCCTGAAATTTTGCAGTCAGATTAATACCTTAAATTCGGAAAAATTAACACACATTATTATTGCTTTCCTTTGACTATGAAAATTATAAATAAGATTGTCCTAATCAGATATCAAAATTTTTTTTTATTTTTTCAAAAAGAATTCTGCAAAATTTCTAGGAACTCAATAACTTCAACTAATATATGAATATCCTTTAACTGTTTTGATAATTGCCTAACTCAGAAGAAAACCCTGATGGGGCAAATAAGCCGATAAATATAAACAGACAAACAAAAGTACGACTAAATTTTTTCATGCACACGCAGGGGAAATTGAGCCAATCTATACCACAATTAAGATTCATAAAAGGTCATTTGAAAAACAAACTATGATTTCTCAAAAGCGGAAGAGTTCCCACGTTTTCGCTTACAGCTTTTTTTGAAACAAAAAAAAATAACTTCAAAAAAGCTCTAGATTTTTTTTAATGCAGCAAAGTTCTTGGGAGCTCAATTATCTGAACCATTACAGGAATACACTAACACAGAGGCACAACGGAGCTTCACCCCTCTGCAGCTCATTGCAAGCTAGCGGATGGAAAAACAAATTATTGCCAAAGTTGAAAAAACTACACTTTTGAAAAAAAAGTCGAAAAAACTACAAATAAATCATACGTTTTTTCCGATTACGTTCAATTTCATTTCAAAAACATAATTGTCACGGCAAAACAAACATTCCGAAAAAATTTACCAACTATCAACCAAACTGACAATACTTGGCAAACGTCCATTAAGCCGAAAACAAGATAAAACTATTTACACAATTTAAAAACAAGATAAAACTATTTAAAGATTAAAACAATTTGAGCTACAAAAATTTTGATTCTCAACGTTTTCAAGCCCCTACTTTAGGAAACACTTATTTGAAACTTCAAACGAGGCAATATTAAATCCCTACAGAACATCAGCCAAAACCATTTAGGCCAAAGGAAACGCAAAAAAAACAAAAAAAAGGAAAATCAGGGTTGGTAAATATACAACCTACTGAGACATATCACACAGAGACATAGCTTCGCTTCGCAAACACCAGCAAGAACACGACAAAAACAAGCTCTATAAAGTCCAATAATAAAAATTAGAAATAAACCTCAAATTAGCAAAAATGCGACCTAGAGATTAGGTGTCTCACACCCTGACCACTCAGCCACGGAAGCTCAAGCTCAATAGGTAATAGCCAAACATTAGTCACAAATAACCAGGCAAACCTCAAATTAGCAAAAATGCGACCTAGAGATTAGGTGTCTCACACCCTGACCACTCAGCCACGGAAGCTCAAGCTCAATAGGTAATAGCCAAACAATAGTCACAAATATGTCCATCAGGGTTTTCAAACTCGAACCAGGCAAAAAAAATTGGGGAAAAGAGGGGAAAAACGATTTTTTCCTGAAATTTTGCAGTCAGATTAATACCTTAAATTCGGAAAAATTAACACACATTATTATTGCTTTCCTTTGACTATGAAAATTATAAATAAGATTGTCCTAATCAGATATCAAAATTTTTTTTTATTTTTTCAAAAAGAATTCTGCAAAATTTCTAGGAACTCAATAACTTCAACTAATATATGAATATCCTTTAACTGTTTTGATAATTGCCTAACTCAGAAGAAAACCCTGATGGGGCAAATAAGCCGATAAATATAAACAGACAAACAAAAGTACGACTAAATTTTTTCATGCACACGCAGGGGAAATTGAGCCAATCTATACCACAATTAAGATTCATAAAAGGTCATTTGAAAAACAAACTATGATTTCTCAAAAGCGGAAGAGTTCCCACGTTTTCGCTTACAGCTTTTTTTGAAACAAAAAAAAATAACTTCAAAAAAGCTCTAGATTTTTTTTAATGCAGCAAAGTTCTTGGGAGCTCAATTATCTGAACCATTACAGGAATACACTAACACAGAGGCACAACGGAGCTTCACCCCTCTGCAGCTCATTGCAAGCTAGCGGATGGAAAAACAAATTATTGCCAAAGTTGAAAAAACTACACTTTTGAAAAAAAGTCGAAAAAACTACAAATAAATCATACGTTTTTTCCGATTACGTTCAATTTCATTTCAAAAACATAATTGTCACGGCAAAACAAACATTCCGAAAAAATTTACCAACTATCAACCAAACTGACAATACTTGGCAAACGTCCATTAAGCCGAAAACAAGATAAAACTATTTACACAATTTAAAAACAAGATAAAACTATTTAAAGATTAAAACAATTTGAGCTACAAAAATTTTGATTCTCAACGTTTTCAAGCCCCTACTTTAGGAAACACTTATTTGAAACTTCAAACGAGGCAATATTAAATCCCTACAGAACATCAGCCAAAACCATTTAGGCCAAAGGAAACGCAAAAAAAACAAAAAAAAGGAAAATCAGGGTTGGTAAATATACAACCTACTGAGACATATCACACAGAGACATAGCTTCGCTTCGCAAACACCAGCAAGAACACGACAAAAACAAGCTCTATAAAGTGCAATAATAAAAATTAGAAATAAACCTCAAATTAGCAAAAATGCGACCTAGAGATTAGGTGTCTCACACCCTGACCACTCAGCCACGGAAGCTCAAGCTCAATAGGTAATAGCCAAACATTAGTCACAAATAACCAGGCAAACCTCAAATTAGCAAAAATGCGACCTAGAGATTAGGTGTCTCACACCCTGACCACTCAGCCACGGAAGCTCAAGCTCAATAGGTAATAGCCAAACAATAGTCACAAATATGTCCATCAGGGTTTTCAAACTCGAACCAGGCAAAAAAAATTGGGGAAAAGCGGGGAAAAACAATTTTTTCCTGAAATTTTGCAGTCAGATTAATACCTTAAATTCGGAAAAATTAACATATATTATTCTTGCTTTCCTTTGAGAATGAAAATTATAAATAAAATTGTCCTAATCAGATATCAAAAATTTTATTTTCTTTTTTCAAAAAGAATTCTGCAAAATTTCTAGGAACTCAATAACCTCAACTAATATATGAATATCCATTAACTGTTTTGATAATTGCCTAATTCAGAAGAAAACCCTGATGGGGCAAATAAGCCGATAAATATAAACAGACAAACAAAAGTACGACTAAAATTTTTCATGCAGACGCAGGGGAAATTGAGCCAATCTATACCAAAATTAAGATTCATTAAAGGTCATTTGAAAAATAAACTATGATTTCTCAAAAGCGGAAGAGTTCCCACGTTTTCACTCACAGCTTTTTTTGAAACTAAAAAAAAATAACTTCAAAAAAGCTCTAGATTTTTTTTTAATGCAGCAAAGTTCTTGGGAACTCAATTATCTGAACCATTACAGGAATACACTAACACAGAGGCACAACGGAGCTTCATCCCTCTGCAGCTCATTGCAAGCTAGCGGATGGAAAAACAAATTATTGCCAAAGTTGAAAAAACTACACTTTTGAAAAAAAAGTCAAAAAAACTACAAATAAATCATACGTTTTTTCCGATTACGTTCAATTTCATTTCAAAAACATATTTGTCACGGCAAAACAAACATTCCGAAAAAACTTACCAACTGTCAACCAAACTGACAATACTTGGCAAACGTCCATTAAGCCGAAAACAAGATAAAACTATTTACACAATTTAAAAACAAGATAAAACTATTTAAAGATTAAAACAATTTGAGCTACAAAAATTTTGATTCTCAAAGTTTTCAAGCCCCTACTTTAGGAAACACTTATTTGAAACTTCAAACGAGGCAATATTAATTCCCTACAGAACCTTAGCCGAAACCATTTAGGCCAAATGAAACGCAAAAAACAAAAAAAAGGAAAATCAGGGTTGGTAATTATACAACCTACTGAGACATATCACACAGAGACGTAGCTTCGCTTCGCAAACACCAGCAAGAACACGACAAAAATAAGCTCTATAAAGTGCAATAAAAAAATTAGAAATAAACCTCAAATTAGCAAAAATGCGACCTAGAGATTAGGTGTCTCACACCCTGACCACTCAGCCACGGAAGCTCAAGCTCAATAGGTAATAGCCAAACACAAGTCACAAATAACCAAGCAAACCTCAAATTAGCAAAAATGCGACCTAGAGATTAGGTGTCTCACACCCTGACCACTCAGCCACGGAAGCTCAAGCTCAATAGGTAATAGCCAAACACTAGTCACAAATATGTCCATCAGGGTTTTCAAACTCGAACCAGGCAAAAAAAATTGGGGAAAAGCGGAGAAAAACGATTTTTTCCTGAAATTTTGCAGTCAGATTAATACCTTAAATTCGGAAAAAATAACACACCTTATTATTGCTTTCCTTTGACTATGAAAATTATAAATAAGATTGTCCTAATCAGATATCAAAAATTTTATTTTCTTTTTTCATAAAGAATTCTGCAAAATTTCTAGGAACTCAATAACCTCAACTAATATATGAATATCCTTTAACTGTTTTGATAATTGCCTAATTCAGAAGAAAACCCTGATGGACCAAATAAGCCGATAAATATAAACAGACAAACAAAAGTACGACTAAATTTTTTCATGCAGACGCAGGGGAAATTGAGCCAATCTATACCACAATTAGGATTCATTAAAGGTCATTTGAAAAACAAACTATGATTTCTCAAAAGCGGAAGAGTTCCCACGTTTTCGCTTACAGCTTTTTTTGAAACAAAAAAAAATAATTTCAAAAAAGCTCTAGATTTTTTTTAATGCAGCAAAGTTCTTCTACTACACTTTTGAAAGATTAGAACACTTTTAATGCAGCAAAAACTACACTTTTGAAAAAAAAACGAAAAAACTACAAATAAATCATACGTTTTTTCCGATTACGTTCAATTTCATTTCAAAAACATAATTGTCACGGCAAAACAAACATTCCGAAAAAATTTACCAACTATCAACCAAACTGACAATACTTGGCAAACGTCCATTAAGCCGAAAACAAGATAAAACTATTTACACAATTTAAAAACAAGATAAAACTATTTAAAGATTAAAACAATTTGAGCTACAAAAATTTTGATTCTCAACGTTTTCAAGCCCCTACATTAGGAAACACTTATTTGAAACTTCAAACGAGGCAATACTAATTCCCTACAGAACATTAGCCAAAACCATTTAGGCCAAATGAAAAGCAAAAAACAAAAAAAAGGAAAATCAGGGTTGGTAAATATACAACCTACTGAGACATATCACACAGAGACGTAGCTTCGCTTCGCAAGCACCAGCAAGAACACGACAAAAATTAGCTTTATAAAGCGCAATAATAAAAATTAGAAATAAACCTCAAATTAGCAAAAATGCGAACTAGAGATTAGGTGTCTCACACCCTGACCACTCAGCCACGGAAGCTCGAGCTCAATAGGTAATAGCCAAACACTAGTCACAAATAAAGCAGAGAACAGATGCCATGCAATTTCCAATGCTACAGTAAAATTTCCAAATACGTGCATAGTTTTAATGAACACCTTTATTGCGAGTAAGGTTAGTAAGACAGAAGGTTCATAATAATACACTACATTGATGGCTAGGGTAATAATGACTTTCAATTGCTGATAAATTTGCTTAAATCGCAGACAAATTATAAGCAGACGCACAAAATGCCGCCATTCTTTTCTCAAACGGGTAATTTTAGGTTTGCAAAAAACAGGTCGTGGCTTGATTTGAACCTAGAAAGACTTGGCCGAATATGCCAAATAAGATAAAGAATTGATTATAACTAAACCTAACCAATGATTCAGTGATTCTAACGATTAGAAGATGTTAACGTGAAAAAGTCAACATTCCTAATATTCGTCTCAGATGTTGGTTTAAAGGAAGGAATGAAGATAGATCTGCCATCCATAATCAATTCTAGTTATAAAAAATTAAACTTGCCTGCATATGCGCTTGGCCCCACGCATTCTTCACTGGATCATAAAATTGCAGACCCAGGAGCCCAGCTCTGGCCATAGTAAGCCAGTTCACATAGATCACGTTACTCGCTTCCTCAGTGCCATACTGGTATCCGAAAATGTCCAAAACACTCGCATTATTACACAGATAGATCCCCACACATTCTGCTCTGCACTCTTCGTACGATGAGCCCATGCTTTTGAACACTGAATCATAGGTCTCATTTTCATCATAACACGACGTCACAGGGTTCCCAGTCAGTGGGTTCGTGATTTTTGAAATGTCGTCAGTTTTACTAAAGAGCTTTCCACTTCCATGTCCTAAGAGTTCATGCAATGCAACCTGTATGTCGTAACTTTTTCCTTTGTAGTCTTTTAGAAGTAGTGCATCTTCTGCAGTGACGAAAGTGATCTTTTCAGAAGGCGCCACTGCTTGGATGATATTGCCCAACGCAACGTTTTTGAAACCCTCGTTCTGCCTGAAATATTGGTTATTTTCAAAAATTCCATATAGATCCCATCAAAAAAGATTGAATCAACGTAAACATGCTGCAGCATTGGCCACTCAAGCTATTATAGCTCTCTTAATCTTCAGCCAATCATGGGTTTGAGCAGGTAAAAATCACCGCTCAATAGAAACGAAACGAACCTGATATCATCATAATTGGGGATATTAATTCCGGCCGGAATTCCAGATCCTCCGTAGCAAACCACGTCCAGTGAGGTGAAATCTGGCCTGAGAAAAGTATCTTTTTCAAATTCTTTTGGCCACGGTAACTCTGGGAGCACTTTTTCCGCATTTTCGACTAAGTTTCCAAACTTGGCACTCATTGGTTTGTTCACGACTGCTACAAAACCCTCAAACTCAGCCCGGCATCCAAATGGATCCCGGTATGTTTCAATGAACCCTATGTAGCACTCGACAATTGGACCCTTATTCTTAATCCAGTGCCTGGAACCATCTTTATGCTTTTCCAGAGATCCGGTTCTGAAGCTTTCAATGTAGTCTTGCACCATTAATTTTTCGTGCTCATTGCCAACAAACGGTAAAGCTTTCTCCAGATAGGCGTTAACCCGTTTCAAAAGCGGAGAATAGTCACCTTTTTTCAATTCAAACATTGCACCATTCATTTCTTTACTCGTTTCGGGACCTGCTGCCGTTTCCTCGGAAGCTAATAGTATTGTGTACTTATCTTTACCGTCCACATTCGTTTTGACCAGTCGAGTGTTTTCAGCGTAGATCTTGTTTTCACGCATAAACGCATCTGCTTTCTCGGCATCCGACCGCACACAGTTACTAGAGAAATAGGATGTCACACCTTCGTTTCCTCCCAAACCAAGTTTCAGCTCATTTTCCTCCAATGAGAACATTTTCGCTTTCACTTTGTCGTAGACTGTCTTGACTATTTCAAACTTTGGTCCGCTTTTAAGAATAGTTTCAAAAACTTGTTCGGTACAACCAGGTACAAATTTGGTATCTCCAAACCCTTTATAGTTTCCCATATTTGCGCAAAACACTGCACAGTAGACTAAAAATGCTTTAAAATCTTCATCATCAACACTTTCTGGTTTTTCGAAGGCTGATTTGTTTCCTCGAAAATGGTTGTCTAAAATTACGAATATTGCCGGCGATTCTAGAGATGACTGAAACAGACATATCGTACTGCCGATCCAAGATGCCTGCGAGAGATAATGCAAGTACGACTTCTCTCGGGTTTCTAGCGCAGTGAAAGCTTCCAGGCACTCGGGTTTGGTAACAGGAGTGGAGGTTTCTAAGACGTAAAGACTGGGGTTTTTAGGAGCCATTGAATGGACAGTCCGCAGTGGAATCTGAAAAAAGCACAAAGTTTGCACGAATCAACGATCAAACAACCTTAAACTGCAGAGAACTACAGAAAATTGAAGTTCTAACTTTCGTCACACATTCCATATTTTCGGGGCGAAATCTGCTCAACTTTTGATGCAAAGCCTTTATATATAATACTAATAATCATATTAATAATAAAAATAATCATAACAATCATAATAATGATAATAATAATCATCATAATAATAATAATAATAATAATAATAATAATCATAATAATAATAATAATAATAATGCATAATTATAGCGAAGAAATATAACGCTACTAATCTTGATATTGATAGATGTTTTGCTTCGGTGTATAGCGAAGAAAGATAACGCTACTAACTTTGACATTGATAGATGATAAAGAATTCCAATACTTGGCAATATTTCTAGGTAGAAACCTAGTCATCGTCGTTATTCATGAGAAAACTGAAACATTAATGAACCAAAATTGTCCCTGTGTCGACAAAAGAAACCATATGTCTTCAAAACAGGAACTTTCAAAATTAGCTGTTTAACCGTTCGGATTTCAGACAACGAAATATTAATTTGAGTACCAAGAGCTGAAGCAAGCTTTAAGAAAGCTTGTTATTGACTTAACCAAAGCAAACGTTTGCCCCCAATACGATGATCAACTTTGTTCCTTTTAAAACCAACTAGCGTGTAACGAAAATCACACGAAAAAATAAAACGATGCGACCGTAACAATAAACGGGACATCCATCAACGCTTTTAATTTCAAAAATTGAACGATAAAAATAAATTATAACACAGAGGCGAAGCTTCGCTTCACAAACACTTGCGAGAACACGTCAAAAACAGCTCTATAAAGTGCAATAATAAAAATCAGAAATAAGCCTCGAGTTAGCAAAAATTCGGCTACCTCTGAGATTCGAACATTCGACCTAATGATTAAGAGTCTCAGGTTAACCACTTAGCCACGAAACCTTAATAGGCTCTAAACACTAGCCGCCACAAATCATGCAGAGAACAGCTGCTATGCAATTTCCAATGCTACAGTTAAATTTTCAAATAAGCGAACAATTTAAATGAACAATTTTATTTGCGAGTTAGGTTAGAAAAAGAAGGTTCGTAATAAAACACTAAGCTGATCGCAAGTGTTGTTAAAGTTTTGTTATAAAACCGAAAGCTCAATTCTCCAAAACTACTGTGTTTCAGATCTTCTAACTTTCAACTCGAAATAAAACGCAGAAATGGCCGACAGCATACTGCACTTTCCCTGTTTGAAAAAAAATGAAACAATTTAATTTGAAACAATCACTAAATTCTTAAATGAGATTTTTGTTCAATTTAATTTTTTTTTTTCATTAGCCCGTAAGTATATCATTTGCTGTCATCAACCTTTGATCCAGCATAATAAATTCTTAAAAATCAGACTATTTTTGCTTAGTTTAAATTTTAGTTTTCTGAAAATTTTTGAGAAATAAAAAACAGCAATTTCGAAAATTGTTTGAGCAGAAAAATTATGATTGATGCCATAACTGCAACTACGGATAGTAGCCTGACATCACTCCACCAAAGGTTCGTCTATTAGTTTTTTTTCAAGAGAACACTTTCGAAAAATCATAAAAACGTCTTATCTCGGAAACTAAAAATGACTGAGCAGCCAAATTTAGAGGCAAGATTGGTAACAGATGAGAGTGCCCTGAGAGCACGCCACTGTAAGCTAGGAATTTCAAATTTTTGAAGTTTTTTAATTCAAATATTTTGAAAACCGTTGAAAAAACGTCATATCTCCGAAAGTAATGGATTTCAACACTCGCATTTCAAGGTAAGACTTGCGACCCCTGAGGGTGCGCTGACAACACCAAACTTCAGGGTTGGTAATTTCAAACAATGTGATTTTTTAAATCTAAGTTTTCTGAAAACTTTTTTTAAAAAGCACAAAACTCGGTCGTATCTCGGAAAAATAAGAAAATTTGAGCAATCACATTAGGAGACAAAAATTGCAACTCCCGAGAGTAACCTGACAGCACCAAACTTTAAGGTAGCGAATTTGAATTTTTGTGAATTTTTTAAATCTTAAGATTTCTGAAAACTTTTGAAAAAGTCGTCGCATCTCGTAGACAACAAAGGGATTTAGGTTATTCTGACAGCATCCCACTATTGGATTGGTAATTTCAAACTTAGTGAAATACAGACTGATAAGCAAAAGAAAAAATAGAAGTATCATCGGAATTCAATAAAGCAAAACCACCTACAAGCAGTTCCGGTTGCGCAGAAAAGAGATTTGTTTTTTGGTGATCGTGTAGAATTCCAGATATTTTAAATGTTCAATGTATTGTCAATCAAAATAGGCGGATGGATGGGTCTTTCAATTTGCATGAGATTGTTTAAAAAATGAGAAAACTTGGCCAGTTTTTTGTTGACACAGTGTGGTTTATGAAATGTCAAAAACATTTCAGAAGGTAAAACTCTTTTAGTTTGTTTCTCAACAAGTGGGGCTGCGCCAAATTTACGACAGGCAAGATATAAATATTGATACAAAAGAAGCTAGATCAAGAAGCTAGATCTCGCGCAAACAGAACTTGGAAACCACGCATGATACACAGATATCTCAGAATTGAAGTTTTGACTTAGAAAACCGAGACAAATATTATGGACTTAAAGGTAAACTTAGAAAGCCAAAAAATATGCATCAAAACAAAACCTATGAAGCTCTAAAAAAAGAAAAGGTGACAATTCTTCAGCAGAAACCAGTTGAGATAAAAAAGTGTTTTCATAACACTTTTAAAGGCCTCACTCAACTGACTCAGACGCATAAGAAAATTTCGCTCATCAAACAAAGAAATAGGAGACCATTAAGCCGATACATCAGCCGAAAACATTAAAACCTAATAAAACAAAACAAAAGAACCAAAATTATACCAAACCTTTTTGAAAAAATTTTGAGTAGAACAGGTGTTTAGAATGCAGACATGATCAAAATAAATCTGTTGGTGGAAGAAAAAAAGTAGACCGGTGGTTGACGAAATTCTGAATAATTTTCTCAAATCTGTTTGACAAGTTGTTAATATAAAAAACATTATGTCCAGACTTAAAAACGCTGGTAATCGCGCACTTAATAATCGCCTGCGTTATAACTATGTGCAGTCTACCTCAGCAGATCAAAACCTCAGAACAATTCAAAACACTTTTTTAAATTCAAGAAGTACAGAAAAATTACCGCAAAGAATTTGAGACTCAATTACCTCGACCATTGAACCTTTAGAAAGGGCATTCGAAATGTTTAAAAAACGATAAACCTGCAAAAAATTCTGTATAATGAGAACTAAGCTGACAAAAAAAACAGAGGGAGGAGATGGTCGAAAAAGCACAGAGCAGACCTGCCACATGGACTGGATTTCCAAGCCTTTGTTGTCAATAGCATGGATGTCTATAAGCCAGATGCACTGAACAGTTGAATTTAATATAGAGCAAGTTGAAACACCTGTAACATTTTCAAGTGCAATGTCTGACCCAGAAGCGAAGCGGAGGGTGCTTTCAATGTTACAGGATAAAATCGAATTTTGAAACAAAAAATCTAGTTTTAAAAGGAGAAAAATTAACAAGCGGTAGTAAGCCGAAGCTATCTGAGCAGAAACTCTTTAAGCCGAAAAAAAATTGATAGAAATTAAAATTCCCCTAACTTAAATTTAACCGGTATAAATAAAACCAAAATTAACAGCAGAAAGCCAAAAAAATTGCGATGCTTCTTTTTACAATCTTTTCTGAGTTAAGACTTGAGCTTAAAATTTTTTTACCCTTTCAGAAAAACTTTCAAGGGAAAACACAGGAAAATGAACTAGTAGATCTAAAAAGCTTCAGGAGTAAATAACAAACACTTGCAACAACAATGAAAACAAAACAGAACCCCGCCAGATTCGAATCTGTGATCTTTGCTCTATCAGGCGTTAAAAACTTGTTAAACAAGTTGTTAACCAGCAAAAATCCTAAATTCCGATACCAAAATTCCATTAAATTTGATATTTGACTTAAAGCTCGGGCTTTTCAGTGACGAAGAACGCTGCCACGTAAAACAATTTAATCGTAAAAAGACAAAAATAATTCTTTCGAATGATCTTTTTTTTTAATTTCAAAACCTCTTTCTTGTAAAAGACGATATTTTTGAGAGGTGTCTTCATTGAAAAATCAAGGACGAAAAATAAGAAAACAAGATGAAAGTGAAAATAATACCAAGCATCATACAGCCCGCCATCAATTGTGACAGAATTATAAGGTTACTATGCGGTTATTAGTCACTCCAAATACAACAAAAAAAAGTATTTGAAAAAATCTTATTACTTCAAAAACTAAATTTGTCAATACTTCACCTGAAACTCCAATGAACACGCTAAGAATGAGAAGTGTATCAGAAAAACAGTTAGTAAAAAATTCTGAACCTTTCTGCATTAAAAAAATTAGGAACACGAGAAGCCGGTTGCTGTGCAAGTAGCACAGAAAATTCAAACACGAAGAAAATAAGTTAAGTTTCTTGCTTACTGTGTTGAGAGAAAAAATAAGCTTAAGACGTTAGTAAATTAGGCATAAATGACTAGTGGTATTCGAAAAATCCAAAACAAAAAAAAAAAAAACTTTTGAATCCTTTTAAAAAAATTTGCCAAGAAAGCGCTACATGTTTCAAAAACTAAGTTTCTATTCGAAATGTTGGGTTAAATTTAAGTTTTTAACGTCATTAATGAAAACATTCCCTATTACAACACCCACTACCCCCTCGCTCGCTTTACTAGCTAAAATTACGACGAAGCAAAAAAAATCGCAGATTATTCTCAAAAAAATGTATTGAAAATTTTTTCAAATCGTTCGTTTCACAACTGAAGACTTTTTAGTCTGATGTATCAAAAAATCCATTCTGATGATTAGTTGAGGTATCTGATTTTGAATGGACAAAATTTAACAGGCGAAGCTGAAAAAAAACTTTTAAAAAATGGCAAAAAACTAGATCTATCAAAATGAATAAGGCTAGTTTTGAAACAAAACCATGCCAAGACAAAAGAAGGGGAAATAAACATCAGACGGGTTTGTACCCAGCAGTAACAAAGCTGAAAATAACTGCAAGATTTGAAGAAATCCTTTAAGCCGAAAAAAATCAACAAGACTCAAGACTTATGAAAAGTTATTAAGTCCACCTCGCCCTCAAAACACACAAACACTCAAAAACTTTACTTTCTCGTCAATTGAAACAATATGAGGACACTAAACCAATATAATATAGGCCGAAACCTATTGAGCCCAAGAAAGCCGAAAATTAAAAAAAATTAAGGCTAATAAGAAGTCCACTCACTCTGAAATCACAGACACGCACACACAGACTTGTTTCGTTCGTCAAAAAACACAATAAGAGTCCAATAAGCCGATATAATATAGGCCGAAACCTATGATATCGAAAAAACAACAATTCAAAAAATGT